AATAAAATAACTTTTATTTTAGCAAGAATGTGTCATATTATAAAAATAACTGAACCCCTATAGATCATGTCAGCTTGCCTTGTACTATATATGTCTGAAACAGTAGCAAGACTAGTATTATAGATCAGATTTAACATGGAGATATTTTGATAAAATATGTATATTTGTTAGATATTTGCTGATGTAAAATTAGACCATGGTTTCTTTACAGGTTGAAATGTGGAAGCAGAGAATCCACATGGGTGAGTAACACATGACTTTGACATGGAAAAAAAGTGTTGTGCTTGAGTAATAAAGTATTATTTTGTTGGAACAAAACTGACTCAGTTGCACATGAATTAATTTACTGTGTTTCTTTTTGGTTTATTTGCTAAAGTGAATTGTTTTGAGACAAATATAGTTAGACAGACTATTTTACATGAAGATAACAAAAAGAGGAAGTGAAAATTGGTATTGTGTTACAAAATTTGTTAATGAAAAAATTATATCTGAATTACAGGATATGTTTGGCTTCTGTTGGTTTTGTGTGCAACAGTAGTGCATTCACACAATGATGTAAAAGTTGAAGGAACACACAAACAAAATGACCATATTGCTGATGGAGAGTGGGAGGCCAGTGGGAAGAAATCATACATTATAGATGGGAAGGAAAATGCAGAAGGAAAATATGGAACCAGTGACTCTATAGCCACTGAAGAAACTTGTCACATAGATGACTGTTCATTAATGCAGGATGACGATGACCAGAGTGAATTATCAATGCTGACTGACCAGGATGGAGAGTTCAGCTCAGAGGAGGATAAGGCTCCCTCACAAGATTTTAGTGAATTAAACAGTAAATGCTCAAAGGAAACAATTCAAGAAGAAACAATAGATGAAGATGCAACCAAAGAAGCATTTGAAGAAGGAACACCAGGTAATGGAGGGGCAGATAAGACAGAGAAGGAGAATGAAGATGAAAATAGAGATGAAGGACAAATAATAATCGAAAGTGAAGAAAATGAAGATGAATCTAGATTGAACAAGGTGGATCCTGAAATGGAAAATATACCACTTCGTGAAATTTTATTAAAACTAAAGGTAAGACAAATTGATATTAAAGTCTTGTTAGCCTGAAATGAATCATGTATCTAAGCTCAGACTTGTTTTAAAATGTGTCATATTACATGAGACATTTTTATACATTACTAATGCCCATTTTGAATAAGAGATTCTTCGTCTTTTTTACTTTCTTCTATTTGTCATCCATCTTCTCTCTTGATCTGTAACTTGATTATCTTTTTTCTTCCTTTTCTCTTTTCTTCTTTTTTTATCTTTCCTTCTTTTGTTCGTTTACTCCTTCATTTGACTTTTTTCTGTCCTATCCTCTTTCTATTTCTACGTCTCCTCTCCTCTCTCCTCTGCTCTTCTGTTCTGCTCTCCTTTGCACTGCATTCCGTTTGTCTCCTCTCCTCTCCTCTCCAATCCTCTCCTTTTGTCTCCTTTCCTCTCCTCTCCAATCCTCTCTTTTTGTCTCCTCTCCTCTCCTCTCTTTCTCTATTCTTCTCTCCTCTCCTCTCCTTTCTCTTATTTCCCCTCCTTTATCCACTCCTCAACTCTTCTGTCATCTCTTCTTTCTTCTCCTTTCCTTTACCTAATCTCTTCTCTCTTCTACTCTTTGTATTTTGCTTTTCTTTGCCTCTCTGTACCTCACCTCATGCCACCTCACATTTCTCCCTCCATCCCCTCCCCCCCATCTTCCTCTCCTCTGCTTTCCCTTGCCTTCCTGTCCTTTTATGTATAAGTGTAAGACGTATAGTTAATTAATACTGTATTTTAGCCAGAAGGTTTAACAGATGATGATGAAGAGGAGGATCAGAACAGTGAATACAGCACAACAGAAGGCAGCATGGGAGATGAATCAGAGGTAAAGATGTTGCAAAGATAATACAGGTTATGGCATGATATGAATTTAGATAGTTATGATGAGATGAAACCTGAATTTGTTTTGTTGTGACATATATACATGGTTACAGGTAGAAGAAGAAGCTCTTATATCATCTGGATCATCAGAGAAGCAGGATGATAATCTTGCTAAGACTGGTGATTCCAACAGCACTGGGGGCGTTAGTGGGAATACGAATGCAGGAAGCAAAAAGGCAGTTTGCTCGAAAGTCAATACAAGTGAACCTGTACAAGATGTTGAGGTAATATTTTTTCCTGTTCTTCAACATTGTGAATCAGGCAACTGTGCAAAATACTTTATTATGTGTTTATTGTATCAGCATAGTATTGTTCTTTTAAATCTGGAAAAAAATAGTACCATATTATCTTCATCTGAAAATGTGTAAAAGTCTTTATATCTGTGATAATGATTAATCATTAATTTATGAACAGTAACTAAAGTGCTGTTGTATTATTTAATATGCCTGCAGATTATCAATGCAACTGCTCTTATGAAGTTACTTCAGGGGGATCCGAACATAACAAGCAGGACACTGGCTGGACCATGCTATCTAGTGTATTTCTTCAGTCCATATTGCCCATTTTCTGTAAAGGGATCACCATATGTAAATGCCATGGCACGTTCTATTCCAAATATACCTGTCTATGGTTTGGATAGTATTGAGCACCATAGGTAAGTGAAAAAAAAATTGTTTTCAAGACAAATCATATTTTAATTGTATTTTTCTTACAATTATGGATGCTTGAAATTATGATTCAGCTACATATATTATAATATTTTTCTGTCTCACATATAGCATAACTTTACTGTATTAAGGAAGGTTTTTTGTTTTTCTGTGTCTGTTTTTCAGTGTTGTGCATGCAGTGATGTTTACATTTTCATTTGTTTCATAGTGAATAATAGTTAAGATGAAATATAATCTTTGATATTTTATCCCTTAAATATTCTCTTTTTTCTTAGTGTCAATGCCCGTTATGGTGTCATGGGAACCCCAACACTGCTGCTGTTTCACAATGGAAATGGGGTTGGACGATTCAATGCTTCAGAGTACTCAGTCCTACAGTTAGTCTCTTTTATTAATCACTACACCGACCAGGAAATTTCAGACATAAATGTGACTTCCTTAGACTTTCAGGTGAGTTCATAATCAATGTTATTTTCTGAATGATAATATATAAACACGGTTTACCCTTTCTGAATATTTTTTGTACTGTTGCCCTAAATGTTTAATATTTACAGGATGATTATTGAAACAATTCTTAAATTCTCATAGTTTATTTTTTGTTCACAGTATAATAGATCCATTATGTTGAAATTATATATAAAGGAATAAGAGGTATAAATTGTATATTGCCCCCCCACCCCCCAACAAAAAAAAATGGTTTCCATGCACTGTTTTAGAACATACAGATCTAGAAAATCTTTTTGATATATCAGATTGTTTATAAGATATTGTTAGTGTCTTTCTGTGATATTTGGATTTCTCTTTCCTCAGGCCAGCCTCCCATCCAAAGTAGCAGAAGGTTGTCCATATGCTCTGTGGGCTGCATGGGTCTTCCTCCTGAGCTGTGCGTCTTGGCTGTTCCTCACATCAGAGTTGTGCGCAAGACTGACAGAGGCAATCCTAAACAACTGGCGGGAAGCTGAAGCACAGCATGATCACCATGATTAAGATGGGAATGGAGATTAAGTTTCAGGATGAGGGAGGGGTGGGAAGGAGGGGAGAGGAGGGGAGAGGAGGGGAAGAGAAGGTGAGGGGAGGGGAGAGGAGGGGAGGGGAGGGAAGGAGGATGAGAGAGAGAGAGAGACAGAGAATATATATGTATATGTATATATATGAACACACTGTTCTTATAAATTATGGATATGTTTGTATGTCTGTAAATACAAATAAAGTATTCTATATTGAGTTTGTACATAATACCATATGCAATTCTTGGAGATAAGATCAAGTTTATTAATAACTAATTACATTCCTTTATTGGATGAAGAAAACCTTCAGCAAGAAAGAATAGCATAAACCATAGCAAGAGATACACTACCTTATCAGGAATTTTTGTATGACTTTGATATACTGTGTTTGCAATGTTTTCAGCATACATGATTCCCCTATTTTTGTTTAAAAAAAAAATCATATCAATTATGATGATATTTAACCCAATAACAGCAGGTAAAATTTCCAATAAATTCTGGCAAGGATAAGCATACATTAATGTGCACTTCTCTATGCCTGGGCAATTGTCCAGCTGGCAGTCAGGCTCTTAAGACCTAATCCCGGCTGTCCGGACTTAGACTTAAGACTTGATTAAGTAATACATGCCATAATAGGACATTTACCCATCACCAGTCCCTTAAAAACCTGCTGTTGTCATAATGAACCTTTAGCATCTGTATCATTCTTACTCAGCTTTGAGCATCAGTCTACTGTATTTGCAAATATTTTCTTAATATTATTTAAGTTCTGTCATATTAGATTTTTAAAGCAAGAAACTTTACTTTTTAAATAATGGTAATATTGTTGGTACTGACATAGTTGCTTACAGATTTCTGCTGGGCTCTTTTTGTATTTTTCTGTCCACCTTTCTTTTTTCTTTCTTCTTATGGATAAAGAGTGCCTGTTTTGTGTTTATATGGCACTGCAAAATTATATCAATGTAAGGAAAAATAGTCAATGTCTTCATGATCACAGTAAAGAGAAGACTGGCTAAACACAAGTAATGATAATGCCAGTACTGCCAAATAGGCAGTATTACTGATATGAAAAGTACAAGGTTGCAAATCAGTCAGGACATTTATGAGCATGACACTAAGTGTCTGAAATGATGTTTATAAATAAAACTTATTTGTGGTATGTAGCTGTCTGATGCTTGGTTGCTGAAAGAACATATAGCAGATTAATCTAAGCAGCAGCATACAAATGTTTTAGCTGAATACATGTTCAATGTTGTATACCTCTCAAAAAGATCTACAGATACTGTGTTATACTTCCCTGTTAAATGCGTTTGGAACTCTGTGGACTGACATGTGTTCTTTTACATAGTAATGTATTTATTTGAAAAACGTTAGGTCATGTGTGTCTTTAGTTTTTTTTTATATCTGTTTGTATACTGGTATCAAAAGCTCAAAATTATTAGTAATAAAGATTTTTGCAAATATTTCTTATAATTTACCTCACTATAAATAATCAAGTTTTGATTTCTTAATAAAAACCCTGGATACAAATGGGTATATAGTGGAAAAGATTTCATAAAGTTAGTCGACCCAAATCTCATATGTTGTAATGTCATTCTAAGTTTGGAATAGTAAACCATTGTTTTTTAATTTTATGGAATTTGTGATAATAATTTATAAGCATCTTCTGTATTATAATCTTTCACTACATAAGCTATTTGCTTTCATAAATTTATATTAATTTTTCAGGTAAGGATAACATGGCTATTTTTCTTTTCTTCAAAGCTTGGACTTCCATTCATTGTTACTGCTATGACAGTTTCTATTGAAGGTTAACTTTTCTTCTTTTAAAGCGTGATATACTTTATGTGATTTTAACTCTATACAGTTCTGTACCTCCACTACATCCCTTGCTCATTGTTCTTGTGGGGGAACAGGAGATTGAGACTGAGGCCCAAGGTAGGGGATCACCCCTACCTTGGACTTCAGCTGTCACCTCAAACTATTTTTGCATGGTCTTTTCTTTTCTCCCTTTCCTTTTCCTTCTCTTCATCTCCTTCTGTACACATTCTAAGGTGTGAGAGTTGTGCTGAAAGGATGAAAGGCTGGCTTTGTGTCAGTCCTGAATGGCCTTTGTACTCCATTTGCTCTTCCCTCTTTACCCTTTTCACTAGCATACTAATCTATAGTGCCCTACAACCTTTGACATCTAACATAATTTGTCCTAATCATGAAATAATTTTTAACCTTTTGGCCTGCTGTATGACCTTTGATGTCTGGCATAATTATATGTTTTGACCATTAACCATTCTGGGAATCCATAAATAGCCTTATGAACCCAAATCCTTTCTTACCCAGAGGCTTTTGCCCCCAAGCGACACCCTTTTGCTATATTTTGAAAATGCTTAGATGTTGATACGGTAGAAAATTTCAGTAAATTTCTATAGATATAGTTAATAATATTTAGCAAAACAAAAGCTTAAGATGAATATCTCTCTGCCACATCCACCCTTCATTTCCAACCACAGGGATCCCTTGTGGCAAGTCGCCAGGCAAGACCTTTGCCTATCTCCAGCTGCTCGTCTGGTCGAGCAGGCCAAGCTACAACTTCCTAGAACTACCCACAGGCTTCCTCTATGTAGGGTTGTCTCATACAGTCACCCTAATGGCCAGGATCATCCACAGGGAACCGAGCTAGGTGACTGTATAGCCAAAGTTGGCAGTTACAGATTGTGCAAGTAACAGGTCCCACGTCGGTCTCACAATGTAGTCATGGGTTTGACCCATTTTCTTGCCAACTGTACTCTATGATCCGGTGTAAGAACTTGCTGCAAAAGGCCTAAATAGGTTTCGTTTCCATAGAGAAAAAACTGGCAGTATCAAGGCCTTGAAGGCACGTAACTTCATCCTTCAGCATAGGTACCAGCACCTCCAAATGCTATTGTTGACTGAGTTCATGGCTCCTACTGCTAGATTATGGACTGCACTACCAAGGTATGTATAGCTCTTTGTGACTTCAACGTCCTCACCACAAGCCTGTATCGACTGAATAGGAGCTCTAATCCCGGGGGCTTCGACCCTGCACCAGCCACCAGAGATTCCAGATACTCAAATAGGATTGTCAGCAAAGTCGAGGCTCGTGACCGTGTTATTCCCCAGTGTTGCTCCACAGTGACTTGTGATAGTAGCTCTGCCCATTAGCCTGTCTATGCATGTTGGTGCAAGGACACAGCCTTATCTCATTCCTGATTTAACAAAAAAGAAGCTTGACTGGCACCCACCACACTTTACAGCACTTTCAGTATCAGTATGACACTGAGGGTGACGAGCGGTTGCGAGTGTGACACTGAGGGTGACGAGCGGTTGCGAGTGTGACTGAGGGTGGACACTGAGGGTGACGAGAGGTTGCGAGTGTGACACTGAGGGTGACGAGCGGTTGCGAGTGTGACACTGAGGGTGATGAGCGGTTGCGAGTGTGACACTTAGGGTGACGAGCGGTTGTGAGTGTGACACTGAGGGTGACGAGCGGCTTGCCATTAAATCAATAATCTGTGTTGGAATTCCCGTCTCAGAATCTCCCATAGCGATTCGCCACAACCAGTCTATGATCATTGCCACAGAACTCGGCACCCCTGAAAACCCTGCAGTTCTGGAGGACCCTCCAGCGAGTGCAAACAAGAATGTGGTCGATCTCCTTAGCCACAGTACCTGTATCCCTATGCCAAGTCCAGTGATGCAGGTTAAATCACTGATACCAGGATCCAGAAATCCTCAATCTCAGGGATCTAGTAAAGTCCCGGAGAAGGAGGCAGCTCTCATTGCTGAGATTAGCTTCCAAGCCACAGGGACCGACAGACATCTCGTAGCCAGTTCGATCACAGCTGGATATCACATTGAAGTCATGCAATGCGAATGTCTTGTTGCGAGGTTTAGGGCGAGGTAATTGAGAGCCCTAGGCCCTGAGCAGGCAGGAGAATTAAACTCAAGTTGCAGAGAAGACTGTGAAGTGTGTCTATTTTTGGCAAGAACTGCGGCATAAATGCAAAATGAGAAACGTAGCTTGGCCGGGTCGTCCGCGGCTGAGTGCGCTGATTGAGCGACGGCTCCATCGTTATCTCCCGCATTGCGGCGAATCAACACCGCGGACCTCGGCCTGCTTGCCGGCCAGCTAACTCGGTGTAGGGGCAATTATGCAGAGCAAGGTGCGCCGGTACCGAGTGAGGTTAGGCAAGTACACATAGCGAGGCTGTGCCGGTGTCGAGGTGATTGTGGCGTCCGCCACAATACCTCTCCCTATCGAGGAAGAAAAGACTTCAGAGCGAGGATCCAGGGGCAGGTCCAGAAAACTTTCTGGTGGGGGCACAAGGGGTAAAAACAATAAATCGGGGGGGGGGGGCGCCAGATTATATATACAGGGGACCATTACGATGAGTCAATGACCATTGGGGTGGCCAATCAGATTGCAGGGGGGGCAGGTGCCCCCCGTGCCACCATGGAAGCCTGGCCTCTGCGAGGATCCAGTGCGGGCGAGACTGGCGTCCGGATCTCGTCTTGGTGGCGTCATCATGGTGAAAAGATGAACTTGGCCGTCCTAGTGTGGTGTAGGGTGGGTGATGAGAGCGACGGGTTGGTCTGCTGGCGGCGAATTGCCGGGCTCCCTGGCGGAGGTCCTTTAGCTGAGTGTTGCTCAGGCCGTTGTTGGGGAAGAATTCTCAGGGCACGACGAGGGGCTGGTCATGCTGGCATTGCAAAGGTTGGCAATGGCCAGGTGTATTGCTAGGAGCTCTCAGTTGGATGCCAGGGGCTGTCGTCTGCCATGGATTTCTTACTCCAGGGTGGCTCCTACCGCAACTCTGCAGGTGTCTGTGGTGAGGTAGAGCTGGGCGTTGGGGGTGGTCGACTGCGTTGGTCGGTGCTATTTCCGTGTTGCTTGGTGGCCACCTTCCATGTTGTTTTGGATGTCTTCGAGGCTTGCAGCTACATCCGTTGAGGCAATGGTAGACCGCGTTGCCGAACCGCTTGTGGTACGAGCAGATAC